AGAAGAAAAGGTGGAGCGACGCATTTAAGCAGTTGGCAGAACCCCTTCAAGAGAGGAAGAAGGAAAAAAATAAAAATAATAATCAATTTATTAATTTCTTTTCACACTTGAAGAATATACTTATTTAAATGTATTATGTATTAATTTTTGTACAAATAAAGGCTATATCATTTCATTTCATTATGTTTAATTATTGGAAATAAATGCTTAACTCAAGTTATTACTGTTCACTATTTTATTATATAATCTTCTTTTTTTTTAACCAAACATTTTTGTTAAATTTCATTCAAAGTTTAATTTAAACCTTGAGCGATCTTGACACGAGTAGTTCTTTAAATTATAACATGATGACGTTACCAACTAAATTAGAAAAGCTTTGCAACAATTCCAAAAAGTTTACAGCTCTTAATTTAAAAATAGGTAGACATATCTCAGCAATTTTTTGTTTTTTCTAGTCTATACTAATAAGATACCTGTGCCAAATTTCAGCTGACATATTAAAACGGACGTGGTTTAATGGTCTTCTGTGTCGAATTGACATGGAATAACATTGGTTCCTTCATCGATTCTAAGTGGTTTAGGATTCTTATAATATTCATCGTCAAGTTTATCTTATTCTATCTGCTATTTTATATTATTCGCTTTTAAAACTGGTTCGTCATTATATGAAAATGGGTTAAATTTGTTTATGTTTGTTGATCTTTATACTTTTTTATGGATAAATTGGATCATATCAGTATATATTTAAGATATTATTATTTGAAAAATTATTATTATAAAAGTTTTTTGTTAACAAAAGTATTGTCTGTTGTAATAAAATTATCTAATAAATTATTATATAAAACTACTTATAAATAAATTAAAAAATATTAATTTATGCATTTCTTGATAAAATAAAAAAGAAAGATACAATTCACTGATATTAGGAGTGAATGTATTTCTAAATCAACAATGCCTATTGACCTGAAATTATGAAAGGTAATTCTCGTAATGCTGTACATGTGTAATAAGCAGGAGCCGATTAAGTGGCTACATCAGATCCTGAGTTTTTTATTTTAGATATTCATATACCCTTTATAAAATAATTGAACAAATATAAACGTAAGATTTTAAATTTATGGCCTCTTAAAACTTTTTTTAAGAAATGCTTTCTATTTAGGATTTCCATTTGTCTTTATCCGCTTATGGAAAAATTTCTATTTTTAATTGGTAAAAATTACTGCTAAAACCTTTAATGAAATTTATAACATATTTACTTAGGATTCCCGACTAAATTATATGGGGTTGTTTTATAGTTACAATTAAAACTATTCAAACTAGAGTGGGAAGATCAAGATTAATTCTGTAGATCAACTTTAAAATAAATTTTAACCCATCCTGGCCATATTTGAACTGGTGCAGCTAAACTCGAGAATGTTAAAGTGAGAAACAGTCAGCCATAATTGCCTCAGATTGTGTTTTATAATACAAAAATCATATTATGTTATATTATAGGTGGAACACTTTCCGAATTATTCATACAATTAAATATAAAAATATTACTTACAGAACTAGATGGGTCTTTACGATTACTTTCTTGTAGAAGTTCTTCATCATTATACATGCAATTATTCTTAAATGCCCTTCAAATGTCCTGTAATGTGACAGATAGAACATTTGTAATTTTTGTATTTACATTGAGTGCTTGAATGATTTGTAAATCGACAAACCGAACAAGCCTTCCTCTCCATAAAGTAGGTTGCTTCTATAAGTCTTGTCATTACTGCTTGTTCTGCTGCACTTTCACTCTTAGCTTTGGCTACCGCACTTTGAAACGTTAGTGGTCGGATCCTCAAGATTCATATCGTTCACAATAACACTTATATGCTGACGATCTCCAAATCCGCTTTTCATTTTATCCTACTGAGATGCTTGAGGCGAACCGAAGACCACAAGAAGACATAAACAGTATTACTACTTGGGCAGCGAGTAATGATTTAAAGTTGATCATTGATTAGACTAAAGCCATACTCATTGGTAATTCTATTCATACTTTCCCCTACTGCAACTCAATGGATTACCTATTCGTTTCCATACTTCTGTCAGAAATCTCGAAGTAATTTTCGATCAATACCTGTCCTGGAATAATCATGACTCCCAAATTAACCGAAAATCTATTGCTGCCCTATAACAGCTCCTGAGATTCCGTGATTCTAAAAACTCTCCAACTCCTTGTTTCCTCATCCATCTTTCACACTTCGATTATGGCTGCCTTGTATATGGTGGATTATCTGGTGGGCTTGAGATTGAAAAGCTTAATGAATTGTTTCATTCGATTCATCTTTGGAGTCCCCAGACACTCCCATCTCTCCATTTGGTATGCTGAGTTGAAGTGGCTATTCAGATTTCCGGCGGCAATATTTCCTAGGTGTATTCCTTTTCCAAACCTTTACAAGCAAAAAGCCATCTTACCTCCTTGATTTGTTTACACCCTATTCCTCTGTTCATTTGTTTAACATAAGATCCCAGTCCATAAACCTGTTTGTTTTCTCACATAGAGCCGTTTACTTTAAAAAATCCTTTGTCATGCGTGCTACCTTTTTTTGAAATTCCCTACCTGAAGATGTTACATTGTTTTATTTGTAAACAATATATTATTCTTAAATTTGGTGTGGTCTGTGTTCCTGGAAAAATTATAAATTCTGTTTTCTGTGGAATGAAAGGAAGTTTATTTCAGTTCAGCCATCTTGTTAGGGCCAGTGGCTCCAACTCAGTAAAGCTTAAGCGTTATCTAAGATTAAACCAAGTGTAATCTTAATCGTTCGGCCGTAGTCGCTTAAGCTTTATTTTGAAGAAAAACTTAGTTAACTAGGTTTATCTTTGGCAACTATGATAACCTTCCACGATGTTTTTACTACATCCTTTGTGGTAGTCATTTTATTTAGCTTTTCTCATGCAAAAAGGAATATGCTAGATTTTGACGATCTCGCAGATGACGAGGATTTCCTAGATTTAATTGCATTTTTACAAATGGAGAAAAAAGTATATCGTCCTCGGATGAATCATTTAGTCCATTGGTGTGATAATGAATTTTGTGATAGATTTAGATAGATATTTTTTTATAACTAACCCTAATTAATTTAACTTTAAATTTAATTTAATGAAAACAAACACTTGAGAATCTCACACCACAAAGAACTGTAGAAAAACCTGTTAGTAACCGTCTACTTTCTTCCTATATCTCCATTTTTTTAAAAATAATAATGCTTTATTTATTCTGGGGCGAGTCCCTTTAGAATAATACAGAAAGACAAAAATGTGGGCTAAGGAGCCTCAGAGATACATAAACAAGAATATAATTTGATTAAATAGTCAAAATGAAAAAAATAATAAAAGAAATTATAAGTCATTCTCTAATTTAAATCAGTTAATAATAAAAAATTGAAAATAAACATGAAGTAAAAATAATGAAGAACGATCTAATAATTTATATACATATTTATAGTAGTAACTATTTACAATTTTCTGAGGACTGGATGGATAAGAAATGATTAAATAGTCGGGATTTAAAAGTAGGAAGGGTTTTGGATTGAAGGATGTGGGGAGAGATGGAGTTCCACAGGGATGAGGATCGAATAATAAAAGATTTATCGAAAGCAGCGGTTCGGTGGGCCATTATATATAAATCTGAAGGCCAGGAACGGGTATTTCGCAAGAGGACAGATGATTTAAATTGAAGGAACTCGGAGATGTATGAAGGACGGCGGGTGTTAACGCCCGAATTTACGTATTTTATTTTCCTTTAATTTATTTTTTTCTGACCATTAACCCCTTTTTAATGTGAATAATGGAATAAATGTTTATTATTTTTTTTGTAATAGGCCGAGGGATATTGTCCCTGAAATGTATTTTGTCTATATTATTTATATGCTTGGGTATTATTCGCGATGTATTATCGCAGTTGTATATACACACCAGCCCGGCAGTAATACCCTGTCTTAGGGTTTATGACATTAAAATACTGCCGGAAAGCCAGTCTGGAGCGAGCCTTCGTTATTGGGTCCACGTAATGGACAACTTTTCTCACCTTCCCACCAGCCGCTCCAGTTAACTCAAACCCCACCGGTCTAGTATGTGCCCTTTTGTTTTTTCGGAAGTCTGGAGCTAGCCTTTGTTGACATCAGGTCTATGTGAAGACGTCTACCCCCACCAGTCCAGACTCACCACATCTCACCTAGCGCCATTTTCGAATAACAGCTGTTCGGCGCATTGGCAGTCGTCGATCATGATCGATAGAATATCGATTCGATACTTTCTCACCATCGACTGTGAAACATCGTAGAAGGTAACCACCGGGTTGGAAGCAGAACCTCCAAACTGGCTCGTATTTTTGTTTTTTATTCTCACCAAGACATTTGAACATTTAGTTAGTTTTCGGTTCTCTCAATAAATTAGTTTTGTTATTTTGGACAGTTAATTTTCTTTCTTTTGATTTTGTTTATAATTTTAGAAGTTAGGTTTATTTATATATGTTTTCCCTAATGTTAATTTGTTTTTATTTTCTCTGCAAATTATATTTATGTTTTATTTTTCTCGCCATAAAATAAAACACTGTGAACAAAACCAGCAGACATGTTTCTATTCAAAATAAATGATACTAGCTAGTTCACAATTGGTAAAAAGTTGAGTAAAGGTAACAAACAAGGCTCTAATTTATCTCCTGTAATATGGAAAATGTAAATTAATACTGAAGAGAAGAATAGTTGGGGTGGTCAGTCAAAAAATAAATGATAATATTTATTTTTTACATATGCCGACGTTTCGACCTGAAGTTCAGGCCTTCATCAGGGCTGTCTCCTTAAGTGTTGCAGGGAGAATTGTAAATTAATACTATATTCCAAACAGAATTACCTCACAATATCAAATGAATTGCATACACAGACGATGTCCTATTGCTAATCAAACGAATATTAACGAATTATCGATAGTGAATGTTAGGTTCACACTAGAAGTTAGAAGTATTCAAATGTAACAACCATTTTTATTATAAATCATATATTATACTTGCACATTAACAATATTTTCTTTAAGAAAATCAAAAGATATTTTATTGGCACTTCCGAACTTGAAGCGTGCCCAATTAGAAAATATTACAAATAAAAGGATGTTCTTAGGAAAAATGAGAATTAGAATTTGGTTTACAGTTTGATTAAACATGTTTCATTAACTCACAAAAAAAAAATTAATTTTTATTTACTTCGCCTTGCCTAACATCTTGTCCACCGAAATTCTGAGACCCGCGGCCGCCACCATGACTTTTGAAACTTGATGACGAATCATTAGCACCTTCAAAAAATGTTGGAATCACTTGGTCACTCTGAGAAAAAAACAAAACAAACAAATTTTATTTGGTTGAAACCACAACTGCCTTCATTAGAATCTGTGTTATTAACGCATTAGTCCCTCCAGAAATGACGTGGGCGAAGCCCCTATACATGACAAGTCAATGTTCACTGAACATATTAATTACAACATTAATGATGAACATATAATGGAGGACTCATCAAGTTTTGAAAATGACCCTTAGTAAGGTCGAAACGTCATATTAATGCGTATCAATAAAATGTTGGTGAAAATTGGCCTAATTTATTGTAAAAAAAAAAAAAAAATTTATTTGGTTGAAACTACAACTGCCTCCATTAGAATCTGTGTTATTAACGCATACTAAAATTTGAAAACTTATCTACATGGTAAAAATAATAATTCAAACTAATTATCAATATTACAAATTCAGTTTGATCCATGCCTCATTTAATAATTTAATCTTTATTATTATTTTATATTTAACTTAACAATCTATTAATTATTATGGGTGAAAAATAGTAAGGATGCATTCAGTTTTTTTAACGTATCCAACGTTTCAACCTGAGTTGTTCAGTTCTGGCTGGTAACATACCCTAATGATGACCCACAAGCTTGGATTGAAACGTTGGTACCAATGAAAATCTTAAAAAACTGACTGTGCCCTGACTATTTATCATCCATGATATGTAGAACAGTTGACTAACTTCTTTCAACAATTTACTGATCATTGTTTTCAAGGAATTAAACTTTAAATTATTATTTTGAAATACAATCCTAATAGATGGCCTCGTATATAAAAATACAAAATATAATATAGTATCCAAAACTATTATAATATTAGAGTCCGGTTATAACATCCGTAGTTAACTTTAATTTTACTAATTTTGATAAGTCTTTATACTGTGTATCAACCACTAACTTACCACATTTTATCAACATTGAGGTTCATGTTTAGGTTATCGTCATTCACGTATCAATATTATATGTTATAACTCTTCTATATAAGGTTCCATTATTATACTAACAGGAATTTTTTTTGGAAATGCTGAATATTTTGAGATTACACATTCATATGCAATCTTTATAATCACAGTATTTTTAAAATCTGCACCTTTTTAATTCAATAATGAATCCAAGTATCAAAAAACTGCAATATGTTTGAACATTCCTTCATTTAATTTTGAATAATGTGTTGGAACTCGAAAATTCAACTTGAACCTATGAAAATTCCGAACTTTAAATTCCCCTAACTTTTTTCCACAATCATGATATTTAGACTTGACACACTATGCACAGGTGCCACAGATTTATTGGTTATTCAAATAAAATGTAACTTATATCTCTTAAACTCCAAAATATAGTTAACATTTGGTTACAAAAGAGGATAAATGATCAGACACTATAATGGAGCACTTAGACACAACACTTGACTACGAAGAAGAGCTATGAATTTTCAGATCAGCCATGGACTTAACTTTACTTAATCAAAAAATATGTATGTACAGATTATACATTCTGTACCTCAAGGATCCTCATACATATAGTTTTAGTGCAACATACATACAAAAGTTTGTATACATTGCTTTGTACGATTCATCTTTGGGATACCAGGGGACGCCTCTGTTTCCCATTACTATGCAGAGTTGAAGTCGCTTAATCCTTTTTACCATCATAAGTATTTCCTAGCATCCTACCTCTTTCAAGTCATTCAATCCCACCGACCTTCATACATCTCCGAGCTCCTTCAATTTAAATCCTCTGTTATTCCCGGTCTTCTGATTTATACTTAAGGACCCACCGAACTGCTGTTGTCAACAGATCATTCATTACCACATCCTCATCCCTTTGGAACTCTATCTCATATATCTCACATTCGTCAATCGAAGGGTATTGCCCTTCCTACCTTAAAATCCCACCTGTTTAATAATTTCTTATCCATCCAGTCACCATAAAATAGATACTACTGTAAATATGTATATAAATTATTAGTTTGTTCTTCATTATTTTTACTTCATATATATATTTTTTTAATATGACTGTTTAATCACTCTGTATTTTTAGTTGTGTATCTCTGAGACTCCTTAGCGCACATTTCTGTCTTTCTGTATTATTGTAAAGTGACTCGTTCCAGAATAAATAAAGTATTATTATTATTAAATAAATAAATATGTGAGTGGCCTCATATCAAAGGCGGACATCTGTCATTGTTAAAAAGTTGAGAAAAAGCCAATTTTCTGTAACATAGCTTCAATTTAGACTAATTCTAATGATTTTTTTTAAGTGAAGACTTCTTTATTTCCCGTTTTGGTATAGAGTGAATTAAGATTGATCTGTCAGATTTCCGAAGTGTTAACACTCGGGTAGTCGACTAATTGAATTATTATTACATATAGATTGAAATATGAGAAACTAAAAATTGGGCCTGCATACAGTGAGCAAGGAAATTGTTCAGTATTTCATCCTCTCTGTAATAAGCTATAATTCAAAATTATACCTTGATGCGATGCGGTGTTAGGGAGGCGAAAAGGAAAAAAAATTGTGTCGAAAACCAAATGGTAAGGTTAGTTGAACATATGGATTAAAACATTCAGATACTAAAAATTGGACCTGTATACCGTAAGCGAGGGAAATATTCAGTATTTCATCTTCTTGGTAATGAGCTATTATTTATAATTTGTATTTCATATTATTAATCTTGCCTTGTTGATTTTTTCATTTATATAGTGTGGTCTAAAGCACACACTTAATTTTTCTCATCAGTCAGCTTGAATATTCTTAAATAAATTTGTATACATTGATTTGTACGATTCATTTCGTATCAGAAACAATTTAAGTTGAACCTATAAAACGAAAACTTACTTTTTTTTTTAAAGTTTCTGAAAATGACAGATGTCCACCTTTGATATGAAGCCACTCATTTTTATATGCATGCAACATATTCAGCTTAACAAGGACTGCTAAAAAATTACTTCAAAAAATTGATTAACCTACTTCTTGGAGGATCCTAGTGAGACCCTCAATCAAGTGCCCATCGGTATCAGGGTCATAAAATGAAGTAGCTTTTCCTCGGTTACCAATCCTTCCTGTTCGACCAATTCGGCGAACGTATTCTTCAAGTGTAGAAGGCATATCGAAATTCACTACGTGTGCAACATTTTTTATATCTACAAAAAAACAATAAAAAACAAACTTCATAAATAAGCCTAAAAAATGAAAAATGTCTACAAAAATATAAACCTATTAAAACAGTTCACTAACCTAAACCTCTTGCTGCCACAGCGGTTGCTACTAACGTTGGCATTCGACCGTATTTGAAATCAGACAGGGCCTGTTTTCGCTGGCTCTGTGACCTTGCGCCGTGTATCGAAGTAGTAGGAAAATTATTCTCTGATAAAAAGGCCGCGATGAAATCAGCCGTACGTTGCTTCTCAACAAATACAAGGGTTAATTCTTCATCTGAAATAAATAAATAATCTGTAATCAATACACTCGAAATAATACAATTGAATTGATAAAACTAATTCAAAATTATTTTGGACTATTTTATCACTTAAGAAAAAAAAAATCTATAAAATAAATGACCAATATCTTGTTTTAAATATTTAATAGTTGGAAACGAAACTGCAGTACAATAGTTGACAAATACTGACATTTTATGAGAGAACATGTTTCCAAATATCAGAGCAACAGTCCATACCTAGTCAATAATTGTGTAAATATTTTTAATACTTTTACGAACTAATTGTTAAACTATAAATACTGGCTGTTACAGCAAATCTATTCTTATAGGATTAAATATTAGGAATTGAGCATTGAGAACAGACTTAGCAATAAAAGTATTTTTTCTTTAATACTCCTATGCAATATTTCCTATATAAATATAACTAATTTCTTTATAAAACTAAGTCACACCTCACTTAAGAACTGTATTTTTGTATGGAATTAAATAAATTAAACAACATTATTGTTAATCTTTGCTTTCAAAATACACAGATAGATGCACAGAAGGAAAGCAGTAAACTAACGACAACTACAAATCCAAATTTTAAGAAATACATAACAATTAACATTGAAACTTTATCTATTATAGATTATTACCTTTAGTTCCCAAAAGCAATTCAATAAGCTTGTCCTTCTTCTCAAATCTAGAAACTAAATAAAAATTTTGTTCGATGTCTGAACAAGCGCCACCAACAATCCCTACCGCTAGAAATAAATGCTCATTTCAAATAATTTGCGGCAAATCGTTGAATGTCATCAGGAAAAGTTGCAGAGAATATAAGAGTCTGTCGTTAGCCCTAAAATTTAAGATTAACATTACTGTCAGATATATTGGAGAAATAAAAAAAATAAAAACTGTAATTCCATTGATATACCTTAGGGGTCATTGTTTCGTGATCTAGCATTTGTTCAATCACTGGCAAAAATCCCATATCGAGCATTCTATCAGCTTCATCCAATACGAAAAACCTACAAGAAGAAAACTTCACCAGCCCACAGCCTACGAAGTCGTTCAGTCTTCCTGGTGTAGCAACAAGTATATGACATCCTTTCTAAAATTAAAATTTATTTACATTGAATAGAAAATTATTAAATGAATATATGTTATTAAAAAGAGATATTATTAAATACAATCAATACAATTGATAAGCAATTAAAACACAAAATAAAATTTACACACTATGATTGTCCAAATCAAACTTTTATTAGTTTGAGTGATAATTAACTATTAACACAATATGGATAATGAATATAGGATGATACATGGCTAATATACCTCCCCATTTAATTATATTATACTAATTATAATCTTTGAAAATTTCATAAAATTGTATTAACATCCGTAGGTATTACGCCAGTTATATGGATTAAACTACAGAAAAATATACATTTTAAAAACTTATCTAACATCCCATTCCACATGTTCACATCCAATATATGCTTAACAATTAGATACATTAATCTCTATTAAATTTGATACAAAACCATTTGTTCACTATTCCTTGAATTTCCTCCAACTAAGAATCATTTATGAAATAGAGAAAATGTGTTTACACACGAGACAAAGTTTTACTTTCAAAGTAGTGGACAGAATTTGAGCACAGGACAGAGAGAAGGGGAGAATAAAAACGTTATTTTTCAGTGGTATGGAGTTAGGATGAAATTTAAACCTACTTTAATTATTTTTACAAGCCCTAGCTTTTCTCTCGAACTTAGGGCTAAATCTAACATCTAGTTTTTGAGATATATAGACGTATCAAGGAAAATGATGTGGTGCATATTTAAGAGAAAAGGGCAGATTTAATTCAATAGAAGAATTGAAACAGCATTATTTTTCACTAATTCTCCCCAATCATCCTTCAACTCAGAGTCAAATTAAATAAAATATACACATTGTAAACAGAGACTAAGGTAGCTCAGAGGGAGAGCGAGCACTGACTCCCAGAGCTCAAGGTCCCAGGTTTGAATCCGGCTGATGACAAGTAATTTTTCAAATCAACCCTGGAGTCAGAGGACACGCCCAGCCTCTATAAAGTGTGTAACCTTAATTATATGAGAAAACCTGTCGGTCGAGCGTGATGTCAGTCCAATCACCTTTCCGCACAACCGTTGACCTTGTAACAGTACTTTCTCACATACTACTGCACCCAAGACCTTTCACGGATTGTACCCGTACAGGTTTTTTTTTTTTTTATACATAGTAAATATATTATCAAAGGACAATAAAATATTTGTAGATATACACAAATAAAAAAAGGATAGTTTTATCTTGAAATGGACGATTTTACTCAAAATGTTATGAACAAAAAAATTGGAGGTGGTATGACTTCAAGTTGAAAGTTAAATTCAAATGGATTTTATAACAGACAGATATGGAATCAAATTTGTTCCTTTATTTTTAAAACTTTGATTTTGAGCACAAACATTTATTTAACCTCCTATGAGAATAAACAGCTTGCCTTCCATTGGCAGTGAAAAATAAATAAAAGCTACAGAAATTTAATTTGAATAACTAATTAAATGCAAACCTTAATTGTAATAATGTTTGTAATTAAAGAAAATTCTAATAAATGCTAAAAAAACAAAACTAAATTATAGTTTTTAAATTTTTTAATCCTCCTGTAAGGCATAGATAACAAAAAATATTACAGGATGGCTACCAAATATTTAGAAAGAAAAATTCCCTGGAATTTCCCTATTTAATGATAGTCTTCTCTGACTTATATGTCTGGGGACATAAATATTAAAAATGTATAACTTATAAAAAAAAAAAATTCATTACACATGAAAGAAAATTGACTACAAAATGATTTGAATAAAAAAACAAAAAAACAAACAGTCTTTTAAATAACAAATATAATGTTTCAGAGGAGGAATTTTTTTAAGCTTGATTAGAATTTACTATTTTTGAAAACTAAACTTTTAGTAATTTATTTTTATTGCCTTTATGTTATTTTCATAAAATGAGAGTAAATGTTGATACTTGACTTTTAATGTTTAACGATATCCACTGTATATTTATTGCCAATTAGAAAAAAATAATTAAGCACTAAAAGAATTTCCCGACTTCCTATTTTTCCAGGTCGGTCACCACTCTGTATTAGATATAATTGATTACAAGTTTCAAAATAATTCTCAACTTTAAAGCACATGAGAACAATGTTTTACTCCACGATCACCATTACGATAGATTTTTCAAATCAAATAGTTTGATTTTTTTTTTTTTTTTTCATTTTTACATCCTGAATTACAATAGCTCATTATAAGTAATAAATTTGTTTACACTTATTTGCGAGGCTTGATGAAATGATGCAGTATCACCATAAGCGATGGCAATTCTTATTATCGAGCCAAATGCAAACTTTCTAGCTTTGTTGAATATCTGCAGAGCCTGGATACTCTCGGGTCTGAGAGCAGACGATCACCTGCGGTTCCGCACCCTGTCCACTTACTCTATCTGCTTTATCCTTCAAGAGCATGTGGATAATTAGCAGCAGAAATGCGGCCTGATAAAATAAAAATAAATAAATAATTTCATAATAACATTTTGATAAGATACATTTATGAAATATCCGTCTATTTATATATGTGAATTGTCATGGAGGACAGCAGACTGAGGGTGGTTGTGATAAACAGTTCAAATAAAATACACATAATATATACTTAAAATCTAACTTGATATTAATAAATAACTTCTGGAAATAAATCTTTGAAATGTGTATAGAGAGTATTTTATATTAAATGTATGACAACAGGAGACTTGTAATCAGTTTATAATAATATTAAACTTTCTACAGCTTAAAAAAAAAAAATATGAGCCCATTTTCTAAACTTAACTAGAATCTGATACAGACTTTCATCATTAGGCACTAATTATTTATCATTTTAACAGCTGACCCGTTATAGGCAGATTATTGATCCATTGAACAAGTTAAAAATTGTTCTACCACCACCAGCTGACTGCTACTAGTCCTGAGCTAAGGTATCAAGATTCTTGAAATGTTTTATTAAGTTGTATATATCAGAAATATATAAGTCCTTAAAGCATCCAAGAGGACATAGAGAAACTTTGATATGGGAAGCAATGGTCTACAAGTAAATTGAGATAAAACAATATATATTCCAACAGATCCTGCTTGGAAAAGAATTGTTTCTGAGAGGAGACAAATTCATATAAATAATTTCCGTGAATGACCAACAGTCAAAAATAGATCAGTGTATAACAAGTGCAAACAGAGCTTTCTCCTCTCTTTCAAGGATGTATAATAATATGATAAAGATAGTTCTGATACATGACTGCAAAACCTGGACACTAACCAGCACCCCAGAAAGAAGTATTGAAAGAGTTGAGAGAAAAATTCTTCGAACGATAACTGGAGCGATCTGGGATCAGAGAACCAATGCAAGAAGGAGAAGGATCGATAAAGTATTCCTTAGAGAAATTGGTCAATCAATATTTCATGATATGAAGCCATGCAGCTTGGAGCAACCTGTTGGCAAACTTCTACGGAATTATATAAGGTCAGTTAAGATAAATGGTTGCTAAACCTGGATACTAATCAGCACTCCAGAAAGATATGAGAGAAAAATCCTCGGAACAATAGTAGTACAGTAGTACTTTTCAAGGGCACTCAATGTTCTTATGTATGGTGTCTTCAAGGAACATATAATCCCTCATAATTTGACATTTTTTATTCTACTTCAAATGACGTTTCAAGCTGATTAGCTCATTCTCAAGTCATCAAAAAATTGTTTATCTACTAAAATATATTTCTATATTATAATTTCATTGAACAACCATTTGTAGTGCACCAAATATAAAAATAACTACATTCCTTGTCTCCTAGTTTGTGTATTTATTGATGCTTGCCATTCCCAGTACTTGCAAAACTGGGTACTACCTCCTCCCTCTATTGTTCAATATTGACTCATTAATGTTAGTAAAGAAATTATATATTCCTTGAAGACAATATATATATATATATATATATATATATATATATATATATATATATATATATATATATATAAAATATCTAGCATTTTTCAGCCCGAATTTAACTTTTAAGTATTCCAACTTGTTAAGACTCAGAACAAATAGTCAAAGGGTACTAATTAATATGTCTCAAGTATAGATGAAAGATGGGTTAAGATCGCATCAATCATAATGAAGACTGAATTCTGAAAGTAGCAGCGTATACTCAAAGGACAATCTCTTTTTAGCTTCAGGCAGACTCTGCTACATCCAGTATTCTATGGGCATTTTGATAGATGTAATATAGACCCACCTGTCTACCTGGTGAGGCACTTATGAAATAGTGCTGATAAAAGAAGTATAAGGATTAATTTTGGAGTAAGCATTCATCTAAAACATTATTTATTGTATTATGACCAAACAAGTAGAGAACAGTTCTCTATAATTCATCAGTGAAACGTTAATAAGATATTAAATACTGCATATAGAACTGTTAAATAGTAAAAATAATCAAACAATAATTGTTCAAGACATGATAAAATTCAACAAATTTTATTGGAAAATAGATGTTTAAGGAATATGAATGATGATTAAAAAACTATTACAAAAAAAGAATAACATCACAAATAAAAGTACCACTAATAAAGAAAAATATTAAATT